CCCGCCAACTCATGAGCAACAATCCTTTTCCCCTTTGGAGATAGCTGAACTCCATCTGCTGCCAGCAGGCCCAGTGCCATGTAAACGTCCCCATGATCAAAAAAACCAAAATTCCACTGACAGCACCAGCCTCTGAGCCACTTGTTAATCAGGTGAGTTTTCCTGTTCCTTTCAGCATTCTTCTTTGCCACTGATGGGATAGAGGAAAACACTGCCTGTCCTCCCAATCCTTCAACCAATTGTCCCAGTGCCCTGAAGTCCCTTTTGATCGCTTTTGGACTTCTCTCTGCAACCTCATCACAGCCAACCTGCATAACCAGGAGTGGGTAATAATCAGAGGGCTGTACCAGATCAGGGAGTTTCTTAATAACGTCCCTAACCCGGGCCCCAGGAAGGCAGCAGACTTCCCTGTGGGATGGGTCTGGATGGCATATTGGGTCCTCTGTTCCCCACAGGAGGGAATCACCTACAACAGTTACCCTCCTGTTTTTCTTAACAGGGACAGTTGTAATGCGTGGGGCATAATAATCTGATAGAAGTCGAGACTGGTTTCTGTGACCTCTTAAGTAAATGTCTCTTATGCGACCTTTTTCTCCTACCACTCTAGGAATCAAGAGAAAGCCTGAAAAATAAAATTTCTTATGCAATATGACATGGCAACATTGAGCAGTTGTTGCTAAGGCTTTCAGTTCTCATTAATTACATAGTCATTTCATAGCTCCTGGGAAAAATGTGTTTTAGTACTTATTTATCCTAGGTGATGGAAGGAAGCCTCCATTATTTCTCCAGTAACGCTGCAGACAGACCCTAGGATTATTCCCAGAATCATGCTATATTTTCCATTCAATCTCTGCTAATCACTGAGAAAAGAAAGGAGATCAAGTAATGTGCTTCCTGCAGTGCTAGTTAACTCTCTGATATATGCAAGATAGGAAAAAACCCCTAATAATTTGTGCTCATCTAAAACCAGAGAAGACTCTGGAAAAGAGTGGTTTTCCAGTCTGTAGGTTCTGTGAGCCTTGTAGATATTATTTCTGAGTCAAGTCTCCTACCAGTGTTACTGCAATAGATGTTCTTTACATTTTAATGAATGTTGTAAAAGAAACTAGTCACACATTAAAGTGATAACCTGTTTAATGCTAAACACAGGTTTTAAGTAAGGTGTTTAAGCACAGCTATTCAGTGATCTTCCTTTGAAGAAGTTAAATACTGCATGTGTTAATTATTATTGCCATCAATTTTAGCACTAGATAAAATCGTATTTGACCAGTGCTGTATATCTTGCAGCTGTTGGGTTTGCAGTCAGTAAAACAAACAGCTAAGACACATGCCCTATTTTCTTGTAGCTAAACTAATATGAAAGGAAAACATGAAAGCTATTTTATTATTCCAACAAAATCTAAAGATAACAAAATCAGTTTTCTTCAAAAGCTAAATGTCTGCCTGTCAGATGGACTCTGTTCTGCTTTTAAGATATTCTTGTACATTTATACTAACAACATTCTTAAAAGTTGATGAAATATTTGACACTTGTTACACTGGTAATTCTACAGTGGAATGTGGCGTAGAGGACAGCAGTTAAAGCAGTACCTATTTGAGTAGACAAGACAGGCTTAATTGTAAATTATAATTTAAAAAATAAATCTTTTTTTTTTTTAAGCTGAAGATATGAAGGATTAATATCCAGTATTTTCCAGAAGTAGCTGACACTGACTGTATCTATAGTATGCTGTAGCGTTGCACTTCTTAAAAGCATAATTAATTTAGCATGCAAGATATCTAGCATACTAATGCTTTTAATTCAGTGAGGATTGAAAGCTTTGATTTCCTTGTAAAATTGGTAAATATAATGAAAGGACTCTATTTTTGTATCACTGGGAACTGAATGCAGTCTTCCCAGTGAGAAACTTGTTGTCTTTGGACTAATACTGTCCACTGGAGTGGAGCCACCTCAGTTTTCTCTGCTGGAAAATGAAGGGAAGAATCAGAACAACTCTTTTTGCAATACAATTATTTTTTAAAACGTTTTCTTCCTACCTTTCTCCCTTGCAAGGAAATTATTTGACAGTCACTGTAACGCAGCTTAAATGCAGACTGCTGTCAAAACAGATACCACATCCTGGTCCAGGCAGCCTGCTCTGGGTTCTCTCTTGTGCAGCCAGCCACATGGTCAGCTGAAGCAGTGACCAATCTCAGCTAAAAACTGGTTGGTTTCTGCAACGTTTTTTGCTGGGTGAATTTGCAGTCAGATATGCCAGTGCAGCAAATGCCAGTCCTGGAGGCTTTAAACCTGTGTGTTTCTTGGAGGTCGTAAGTCCCTGTCCTCAGAGTCATCTTCTGCTTTGAGGAATTTACATCCATGACATAATCTGCACACTCTCAAATATGTGATGTAAGTTCTTATTAATCAAGCAATGGATGGAACTAGGGCTTAAGCAAGCTAGACAACATAGCTAGAGCTTGAGTTGGGAGGAAGACTCTTTTCTACACTGTCCCCAGGATATTTAGTTTCAAACATATTACTGTTGACAGCTTCCACAGCAAGAGAGATTGAGCATTAAGTGAACTTGCACAGCTCTGTTCTGGGCTTCCACCAGGTTATTTCAAAAGCGGGCTTCCAAGCCCTAACAGTGCACACGAAGACAAGAAGCATGCAAGAAAAAAAGAGCTCCCGAACACCTCCTTTCCAAGAAGTTCACCTACCTGTCTCACATTATCTCTTCTGTCCTACGTGGCATAAACATCCATTTTCTATGAAGTCAGTTGGAGGCCATAGTGCAAGTGCAAGCCTGCTGGCTTTATTTGGGCTCTGAACCTTTTGTCTAAAGAAAGGAGAATGATGTTTGAATTATCACTGACTTCACTGACCAGCTTCTCCTATATGAAAATCTGAGGAGACATTTAGTGGGCAATTAATGCTGGAGACGGTTCTTCAGTCTCTGATCACATTGCAAATCCTGTCCTTCACCTGGTGAGGCTTCTTGGTTCAAATGTAAGCTTTCAGGTATTCCAGAATTTTCCAGGAGTTGTTCACAATGGTAGCCAAAGCCTGCATTTTGAGGCAAAGGTTATCAGAGAGAACTGCCTGTTTGATGTCCTCAGTTCCATCCAGATTTGCTCTTCTAATTTAATGTGAGTATAGTGGAGCTGTCAAAGCCACCGTAGAAGATGCCAGTTTTGTTAGATTCATCTGTGCTGCAATATCTTTGCTTGTCTTTCTATGTGTTGCAATACAATGTGTTCTTCTGAACTTTCTTGCAATACACCTCTCCGCCAGTTCATCTGAGAATCACCATATGCACATGGGAGCTCTTTTTGGGCTGAGCTGGCCCCTCAGCTGCAAATTTTTCAGGCTTGCCCTGTAGAATTCAGAGAAATTTCTGTGTTGATGGTAGCTGTGCTCCAGTGCTACCCAAATGTCAGCAAAACGTGCTAAGTAAACTCTGTAACTACTAATTTTAATATCTGCCCAGAAGGCCATCTCATGCAAGTAATAGAGACTGATTTTGACTTCTAGAAGATCTCAGGCTTGGGAGAGCAGTGCTTGGTCTTTCTGATGTTGAAATTTCTCACTGTCACTATCCTGAGAAAATACTGTTACTCTCTACATATTTGTACAGTTCCTGCTATTCAAAGAATAAAATAAAGATTTTGTTATTTATGACAGAGAAAATGGTTTGGACCCTGTGGATTTTGTTGCGGCTCTAGGATTCTTCAGTAATCACTGGCTTTAACCTGCCGGGGTAAGGCAGGGGTTATGGTTTCATGGAAGCAGGAAACATGCACACTGATGTTCAAAAGACCCCCAACTCGGTATTGTTAAGACAATTGCAGTAGGACACATACTGACAGTAACCTTTGGAGCACAGTAAATGTCATGTAAGAAAGATTCTTGCTGAATTGTTCTGCTCACAGCGTGTGCTATTTTCTGGGAAGTTTTAAGGATGTTCTTCACGTGGGTGTTACAAAGCGCCAGTGATTCATGAAAAGGGCTGTGAATTATTTAACAAATGTGACACCAGACAGATGAGAAAGCATGCATGCATTTTGCTTCAAATATACATATCTTTGGGTTTATGGCTAGTCTTTCTTGTTTGTGTTGGCTGGTTATAAACTGTACTAACCATCAGGTTTTTAGTTAAATGGAACCCATTGGTGTCACTATAAGACTTTATCTTGACGTACTTTAAGTCAGCTAGACAGTTCTGCATCGCAGATTTAGAACATGTTAGTCAAACTTTAATGTGATGGAAATATGTTGAAATCCATGGTAAAACTTCAGTTGCTTTTAGTGGAACCAGCATATCACGTAATAGTTGCATTTTTTGTTTACATTAACAGAAGCTGTATGCTGGAGGATGTGTTTCTTCCATCCTGTATATAACGAGAACTTCAGAAAAAAAGTTATTCTAAGAGTATCTCTTCTTCTGTAGTTGGTGTATGACCCTGTCACTGTTAGGCATGCTTGTGTGTGTATAAAGGAAAAACAGATTCTTGTAATACAGAAATGTAAAAAGAAATTTGGCTTCTTGTTATATTGCATGTTTTCCAGTGAGGACTGCATATGCATTGGGGCTGGGGGGAATACAACAGTGAAGCTTACACTGGAGCGTAAGAAGCGCTGCATTGGGGGACAAAGAAATACACTTGTGAGACGAAAAAGGACTTTGCTAGTTCTTGTATTCTGATCTCATTAGCCTATGCAGATGCTTTAAAGGACTTTTTTTAGACTTGCTAACTACTAAGTGACTGCTTGCAATTGCAAACAGGTGCTGTCACCCCCCCCCCAATTTTGCTCCTTTTACAGAATGTATGTGAAAATACGCTTTTGTAATTTTAGCTGTGATTGAATTAGAAACTGTTCCCTAGTTCCCAGTGTGTGTCTCATTCGGTGTACACAAATACTTGACTACAATATTGGCATTTTCAATTGAGTAGTCTTTAAAAAAAAAAAATCACTACCACAAAATCCCTTTTTTACAACTATTACTTTTTTTCAGGCAATAATAAATAGCACTATCACCCCCAACATGACATTTACTAAAACATCCCAGAAGTTTGGCCAGTGGGCAGACAGCAGGGCGAATACAGTCTATGGCTTGGGATTTTCATCTGAACATCACCTTTCAAAAGTAAGTATGACCAGTGGCAACTATTCAGCTAGTCAAGTGGCTTAGGAGTATTTGATTCCTGCTCACCGTATCTTCACTCAGTGCTCACTACTGTTATTATTTAAAAATAATTTTAAAAAATTATATCGATGCATATAATGTAAAAAGACAAGTGTGATACCTGAAAATTTTCTTTTAACTTATGGAGGAAAGGAGGGAGGTTTCAGCTATCACTGTGTATGTTGTTAATGCTTTCTAATTATTTGTTAGGTTTCTCTTTTTTTAAAGTTGTTCTTCCATTACAGTTTTTCATGATAGAATTTAAAGGAACAAGCTATTTAGTGTTTCTTCTGTATTTAGATCTAGAAAAAAAAATTGTTGGTAGTCTTCAGATGCATTTTTGTCTTTTAAGCCACATTCACTTTCACTTTTCTACTACTGCATCAAGTTACAGATATTTCAATGTCTGCAGGCTTAGAGTAAAGCTAGTGGGAAATTTATTCAGTGTAAAAGAAAAGTACATTTTCTTGTTGGAATACAAAAGTTGAAATGTTTACTAAAGAAACTCTGTGCCATATGTGAGGTTTTTTTCCTGGTCTACGTGTGCAGGAGGGAAGTACACCTTATTCTGAGGAAAGCAGTAGTAACCCCTGTTTCTCAAAGTGATGGTATAGTTCCTCTGAGCACCCTTTCTACAATACCTATTGCTATTGATACTACTCTGGTAGATAAGTTCAGGAACCTGTACAAGCTGGTGTCATTTTTCTTTCAATGAGGAATTTCAGTTCTGTTTAAGAACATGTCTCTACATTAAGCAGAGAATTTTCATCTTTGAAGGATACAAAAGATACTTGGAAACCCAAGTGCAATAAAAGGAATGTATAGTACATGTTTAAGTAAGGAATAATGATTGTCTTGTTATTGAAAAAAACGAAAATCGTACCAGCCCTTTTGAGAAAGTAATTGTCACTATACAAGGATAAACATGGGCCTGTTAGAAAACCCTTAAAATGAGAACGAGTATATCTGCTTCATTTGTACAAGTATTACACTTGTAAGATTTCTTCCTCTTGTAATCAGATAGCTTTGATTTCCACAAAGCAACACAAACACAGGAAATTCTGAATAATACTAATATTGCATGTCCGTTTGTGCACCTATCATTGCTTCAGTGAACTTGGAAACTTTGTCACTTACTTAAATAGGTGTATATGTGCTAAAGGCACTTGCTTACCAACATGCTAATAACTTTTCTTAATATTTCAATGGATTTAGCATAAATGCTAGTTTAGTTTACCTCCCTCGTAGACTAGGTTGTTTTCTGTAACAGAATGCTTTTTTGGAGGCAAAGTCTCACGCTGTAGTCATGCACACTCTGTGTTTGCCTGACTAACTAGGTTTGCCTAAACACTAGGTTATCCTTGCCAGTGAAAATATTTTTTGTTTTTTATCTGTCCTATCCTTCACTCACTTCTTGCTCTCCCCATGTGGTAATTTACTGCCTTCTTAATTACAGTTGTTTCAATCCCATTCTTTCACTGTTCTCAAATGGTTGGAAGCATGCCCTTGGCTTAAAACTTTATATTGTTGTTGAAAAAATAATCTGAAAAGCTACAGTAGATATTTTGTCTTAAGTACATGTTTGATTAGCAGTTACTCAGATTGCTGTGTTTTACAAAGAGTATGCAAATCTGTTGAGAAAAATACCAAGTCACAGACCTTTTCTGAAGCTTATGGTGATGAATCTTCCAGACCTTTTCAGAAAACTGTTCCTGCTGTATTATATCTTAATTATCAAACTGATATTCATATGAGTTGAAATTGCTGATCATTGCTACTAAAATTGATAAAGGTGAAACTCTGGTGTTATTTTAAAATTAATAAATATATTTGATGGGGGAAAGGAAAATTTTCTTTAGATTACAGTCTATTCAGTCACTGGAGTTGGTAGATATGTTGGTCTTGGAATCAGAAAAGCTGAATTAGAAAGCCTGGATCTGCTGTGTAGCTTTAGAGAAATCACATCTATATTCTCTTTCTTGTCTTGTCTCTCTGCTCAGATTACTAACTCTGACTTCTGTGCACTGGTGTTGTAGTCGTTTGCCAGAGTGCTGTTGGTACCCCTAGCACTGTAGGACATGAACTCTAATTTGGGCTCAAGGTACTACTGCATGTTAATAACAGGGCTAACAAACAAACAAACTGTATTAATGGATTTGTTCAGAAACAGGTTGCTTCTAGAAGTTGCCTTAAAAATTGATTCTGGAACTTCTTTTCTGTATTTTGATTTATCAAAGTCCTTAAGTGAACACCTCTGTTGTATGTAATTTGTTTTGCAGTAGTGTCTCTGGGCCCCAATGGAATATTTCAAGTTCCAGGGAGCAAAAGACAGCCTGCAACTACAAAAAACTTAATCTAGTCTGTGACTGATTTAAACAGATTAATGAAGCAAATAATCAGAGCAGATAAGAATAAACTGTTTATTTTCAGATCATTGTCTGCTTAGCTTATAGTAGATATTTCACTTTTGGACTATTCTTTTTTGGTTCATGTACCTTTGTCCTCCTAAACTAATTACTAGGGCAGAGTGCAACAGCAGTAACCTCTTTCTGTAGAATTATTGTAACTGAGAATTAGCAGAGTGAGAATATCTGATAGAAAAATAATGGCACTCTAATCAACTTCACATACAAACAGTATAGAAGAAAATGAATTAAACATTTATTTATCTTCATTAGATCTCAATATGTTAGACCACAAATTCACCTCAAGATTGCTCCATCAGAAGTCAGTGATACCTGAAAGATTATTCGTATGTTGAAGAATATTCCTTTCACAGGATCAGGATTTGCTAGCAGAATCCTTCTTGCTGCTGCAGTAGGAGGAACAGAATGTCCCATGATTTTCAGAAAAAAATGAGACAACATTCTCATTCAGAATATAAGTCTGTGCTTTTGATGATATCCTGATGTATGAGAAAAAATATTCCTTTTCAGGTTTGTGGTCTGTCTTACCCCTTTGAATTAGTTGACCTGATTTATTCCATATAATTTAAGAGTATGCTAAATGTCAGAAGTGCCACTACAGATAGTTGTAAGAGCCTATTCTAGTCTCCCTGCACAATTTTTCATCTTTTCTTTAAAATATTGATCCTTCAGAGAACCTTTCCTTTCATACCATGAGATCTCATCTTTGTTATTCAGGAATTTTATCAAGAGATTGCTATTACCCATCACCTGACTATCTGAAGGAATTCTAGTAAATTTGTGAAATTTCCGCTACATTAGCCTTGTTGGCTCTTTCTTAGAATGTTATCTATTTATCTGTCTATTATTCTTTTTTTTTACAGTTTCTACCACTGTGGTACAGAAGATCATATTTACTGCCTTGTATGTCTTCAGCTATTTATTCTAAACCTCAGCATCATGTTTTGCCTTTACCAATCCTCTGGTCTTAAAGCTGATTTAAATAATAGGTTACCCATCAGATTTTGAGGTCTATGTACAAGTCTTAAATAAGTATCACCTAGTTCTGGTGATCAGTTGCCAATTTTATCATCTGTTCTGAGACGTTTTTTGATGCTGGATTAGACTTTCAGGGTGGTATCTTTTGTCTCCTTCTATATTCAGGAAATGTATACTTTTAAATAACCTGACAGGTGAAATATAGGGTACAAGTGGAGAGAAATTATATTTCTTCAAATACTAGTAGACAACCAGGATAAGTTTAAAGACAATAAAGTTTTTTAGGTCTTGCATAGGCAGTGACGTTCTGATTTAAAATACTTGAGGAGATTGTGTCACACAAAGGGTAGCCTTCATCCCTTCTCAATACACGCAGTGCAAAACAATTTCTTTGTATGCTGCTGCTGGAGAGACTTAGAAGGTGTTGGTGAAGCTTCCAGTGTTTTTGCAGAATCGTTTCAGTCTTAAGCTGATCATAATAAGGTAATGTTCTGTATAAAAGCAGTAGGAAACAAAAACAAATGCTTGGCCACTGTAGCAATTAGTGTAGTGTCAAGCTGAGATGTATGAAGCCAATTTTTTCTCTAGGCAGAGAAACTAGGCCCTATTCTTAATAAATTGATTTAATCTCTCAAATTCAAGGGTGCACATATTTCTAAACTGCTGCTTTAGCTATTTTCTGGAAGAGGTACATGTAGCATAGAAATCAAGCTTCATATGGCAGTTCAATGTAGAATTCTTGAGTTCAGTGTTCAGTATATGCGTTTGGTTCAATTAATTTGTTCTTTAACTTGACTGATGTCAACGAACAATCAAAAAATGAACTTGACTCAATATTCCCACTGCTGCTTTCCTAATTAGCTATTGAAATTATAAATACCATTAAAATTTGGGAAGAAATAAGTATTGTTTCCGTCATGAAAGAATGAAGCCTATTGAAAGCTGTAGGCTAATGGTGACCACTGTAGGGTTCAGAACCAGATCATTTGTTGTAAGGAGGAGAGTAAAACCTGAATCTGAAAGCAGCTGTGTAAGTCAGCTTGTCACTATTATTAGCCATCTCTGAGGTGAGTTTTTTTAGCACTATCAGCAACAGTTCAAACTTCATTGCATCGTAATTTTCCTGACATGTAAACAGTGTACATTTTGTCTGAAAGGTATAGGACTGCAACTCACTTAAATGAGTATCTAATAAGAAGAAACATTAAAAAATTCTACTGACAGAATTTGACTTTGTAAAATGTTAAGTACAGCATTCTGTTCTGCATGTAATGTACTACTTCACGCCTACTCTTTCTCTTTTTCCTTTTTTTTTAAACATATGTACCTTCAGTTTGCTGAAAAATTTCAGGAATTCAAAGAAGCTGCACGACTAGCAAAGGAAAAATCCCAAGAAAAGATGGAGCTAACAAGTACACCCTCTCAAGTGAGTCTTATTGCCTGATTCAAGCCTGGTACTTCATATCTGTGCTACTTACTGTATGGTATCTTCCATACACATGTTGTATTAAAAATGAAAGGAGTACTTCCTAGTTACCCTGAATCCTCTCAACAGTCAGCTAGAAGTGTCAAGAAGTCTAAGAATACATTTAACATACACTACAGAAGTGTCAAAGGGACTTGTTTTAAAATAAAATTGGCCTTTTGTTTATTCCCATTCCTGTCTTTGAGCTTTCCCCAGAAAAACGAGTAAACATGGTGAGCAGTTATGTAAGTAAATCTACAGTAAACACCTTTTGTGCTTTTTCTTATTGTATCTGTGAAACTTCAGGTGGTGCACAGTAAAGGACTTTTATAGAAGAATCATTACAACAGAAACCAAAGTTAAAACAGCAAACTATTTTTACTTATTTCCTACTGTAGTATTCAGTTGTGAAATGTGTTGAAGGAAGATGACAGATTCACATGCTGGTTCTGGAGTTATATTACAGTTAGCCATGATGTAAAAGAAGAGTTTATAAAAGGTATCTCCAAACATGAACTGGGTTAATATAGGCCTAACAGGAGGATAAATTAATATAGTCACATTTACATTAGTCATGGCTAAAATTAATTTTCTTGAAAACGAATATTTTGAATTTGCTTTAAAAAAAGAAATTGCATGAGGCTTTTATGTCCCTCCACTCCTGTGCCCCCTGCCATCCAGTGTTCCTGGCTGTGTGTGTAGCTATTTGCTTTGTTTTAAGCAATAGTGAAGACAAAGGTAATTCCTTCTCTTGGAGGATGGAGCAGCGTTAAAACTATAGCAGGGATTCCTGAGTTGAGTAGGATTAATGCAGCTGAGTCTTTTTTCTGGGGAGTTTTCATGCATTGAATCGGTGTATCTGTTGGGTGCTTTGTGCTGTAATGTGCTCCTGATCTTTGATGGAACAAGGGTAGCAGGCAGTTTGCAGCATGCTGTACAAATAGTTTTATTGCCACCAGAAAGCTATATTTGGTGTCCTTCCAAGAGAAGTCAGTGGAAACCACAAGAATATACACAATGAACCAACCTCATCTTGTTTTCCCAGTAGGCATTTTGCCCAAGTGCTAGGTTGGGCTTTGTTATTAATGGGAAACCGCTTGATCTGCTGTAACAGGAGGAAAATAAGGCAGTCTTTTTTTATGAGTTTTCTTGACTGTCTCTAAACTTCTGATAAATTCCATAAATAAACACAGAGATAATGGAAGTAGATATTTCAATATTATAACCTAATATACACTTGGCTTTAGAAACGGTGTAGTACTTTAGCCAGGCCTCTAGTTACTCGATATCATAGGCAAAACAATTGCTCAGTCTCTCTTTTGACATATTGATTAATAGTCTGGACTCAGAAGTTAAACCTGGCACTGTTGAGTGGAGTGACTTATCATTTGGTTTGGACATAAATTTGAACTACTTGCTCAGAGACAAGATGCTTTCATCTAGCAGCTGCCCAGGGTTAAAGCTTTCTCTTAAACTGTATAAGCTATTAATAATGTTCATGTTCCTGTACAGATTTCCTTTTATACTTGGAACCTAACATTTTATACTCTAGGCAGTTACAGAAATGTTACTTTGAGCAATTCTATAATGCACATTGAGAGCTGCAATTTAATTACTGCACACTTAGGAATAATTTCATATTCAGGCTCTACGTTTCATCTTGTGGCTTTTCGCTGTGTTGATAAGTTAGCATATTATTCTGAAGGATAGAGTTAGTGCAAGTGCTGACACATCAGCATAATAGTCTTCACATACTTAATGCTTCCCATTAGTTCCCCAGAGAGAAGGGAGTTGAGTCAGGAACTTTGGAGTTTGGAGCAGATGAGAAGCGATGGCTTCATGGCAAGCTGCAGCACTTCCATGGCGCTGGGGCTCATTCAAACAGATTTATGACCTGGGGGAAAGATCAGTGCTTGGTAGTGGGGAGGGAAGGTGGGACCCTAGACACATTTGAAGGAGCACTCGCTGTCATTTTGATCATCTGCCAAAAAGTGGCTGCAAGGCAAATAATTCAAGTGGTGCCTTTCTCAGTTGTTTTACAGCTCTTCTTTCCATTTTGCATAGTGATCCTTTGCAGAGGGAGAATAAAAGAGGAAGGAGACATTTTCAGTGGCCAGTCAAGACTTCGCAGGAACCTGGCTTTTTTAGGAAGCTTTGACAGGAAAAGCATTGGGAGGTAGCATGAGAGTAGTGAGCTCTGTAACAATAACCCAGTTATCTGCAAGTGTCAATCCCTCTGTTGTCTTGGACTTGCAGTTATCCTTCTGCATTAAATTAATGATAGGTAGGGAGATACTTACAGTGACAAGCCACCCACGGTCTACTTTCGGTTGCAAGCTTGCCTATGAACTGAAAGAGCAACACTTCGATCTGGAGTTCACTGAGCTGCAGGAAGCAATAGCTTGAAAACTGTGTTGTCATCCCCCGCCCCCCCCTTTTTTTTTCTTTTTCAAACTAACCTTAATTAGGTTCAAGTATAGAACCAAACAGAGCAGTTCATGTGGTTTGCAGTCTCACACCATCAGTCTCGCAACCAACTGGAGTCTGAACCTCAGTTTTTCTTTTTCTCTAAGCAAGAATCTGTCCTCAGATACTTCTTTTGACCCCACTCATTTCAGATTAAAACCTCTGTTAGTTTCCGAAATTATGTAGTGAGTAATTTACTCAAAATAGTCTTGTCTGTGATTCTGAGCCCCTCCTATGCAGACTATTAGGAATAGCTATTGCCTGAAACGTTTTAGAATCACAACATTTTTTAGCGCAAGGAATGGGTTGGTTTTGGCAAAATGGTCATAGTTGATGACCTGTTGGCTTTTTCTTTGTAGAATTACAAAATTTACTTACAAAGCTTTTGGAAAAAGTAACTTTCTGGGATATTATGTGAATTTCTATACCGGAACAGATGTTTCACATGTGTTGTGGTATCTGAATCAGTATCTGGCAGAGTTACGCCATTGCCAGTCAGTACTGAACAGAGAAGCACTACAAAGAACAGCAGTGCCAGGGAAGTGTCTGGAATACTTAATGAGAAAACAGTATAATACCCAATAAGAAAACGAGCTGGAATTGGTTTGGTTTGTTCATGACTTTAGAACCACCTACTCCTCCTTTTCTTCTGTTCTGTATTTAGTCACCATTAAAAGGTGGCGTGATCTGTGCTGTGAAGTGTGCTTGTTTTACTTTAAAGCCTCTTGTGAGTGCATGTGTTTTGCTCATAAGATTTTGAAATTTAAGTCATCTTTTGATTAATTCCCCTCTGTTATGTTTAGTTTATATACTGTAGGCACTGTAATTTTTCTACTGCTTGGCATCACCAGAGTCCTGCATACTCATTAGTAGGGTCAGAGCTGCTTTAGACAGTGCAGATGTTTGAAAAACTCTTAAATAGCAAAATATACCTGAGTCAGACTCTCACATTCACTTGTCATGTAGAAAAACACTAATCCTCAGTCCATATGTAAGTCCAGGACTGGTGAGTGACTTAAAGTTCAATATCCTCCAGAAACCGATATATGATACAATAGTGGTTTTATACCACAGGAAAGCTGTTAATCCTTTCTTCTCAAATGGATGAAATATCTATTTGTAGCTGTTATAAGTGGGAAATATCAGGCCTTAAAATATATTACTGATTTACAGGAACATTTGTCATTTTCAATTTAAGCACTGTTTTTTCCATATAGTGTCTATAGAGTTGAATGTTAGAACTAAGTTAACCTGCTCTCCTAGCTAGAAAGAAAGGGTGAAAATCTCTTTTAAGGCTGACTGCAATTTCTTCCACAACTCTGTAAAGTCTGGAGTGGATGTGTGAAGCTATAATGGTATAGAATAAAAATTTCATTACATATCAACATCTCACAAAAATGTTTCTAAAATTGTTTTACTCTCTCCAATTAATATATAATGGGAACATCCTCTTTGTAAACATTTGTAAAAGTTTTGTTCAGTTTAAGTGGCTTTTTCTGTTGTCTTTGGTGCTTTATTCATAGCTAGCTTCATTATAGTTGGCAGCAAATAAATTACTTATCAGGCAGGGATAGTTGTGAGTGTGTGCGAGTGCCGATTAACCTGTATTATTGGTGGAAGGAACACATACTAGAATCTGATGCTTCTCTTGTAATTACAAAATCAGCCCCTCATGAATTTGCAGGCAGTGAACCTTTAGGTATTACATAGACTGCAATGTTTGTCTTCATTCATTTTTGTCACTTGAGTTCCATTCACATTTGAAGTCTATGAAAGTGCTTTGCTGAAAAATAAGCCTAGATGGAACTTGTATATTAGTTTTCCTTACACTGAAATAATTTTTATGCATTCACACTTAAAACATCTTAATAAGTAGGCTCTGGCTTTTATGTATCTAATAATAGTATTGTAGGAACTTTAGCTTAAAGATACAAGCCATCCAGATTTTGTAGGGTGTGGTATGTATTTTTTAGACTATCTAGTGTAGTTTGGGAAGAGGAGGAAATAAAAGAGAAACTCTGGGGTCCATATATAAGAAAACCAAACTCTTTCTCTTCCCATTTATATGAAAGCCAAACTCTTGGCTTTCATTTAATGTCAGTGGAAACTGTTTATCAAATTAGAGGATAATAACACACAAAACCATATAATTTGTATAAAATAATTTGCCTGATTATCTTGCCAACTCTGCTCTCCTTTCACAATTTCAATGCATTTTCAGTTCAGTAAAGTCATTCTGTAAAAATCAAGATTTAGTTTTGACTTTTAAAGTATTAACACTTAAGATAATAGTTTTGACTATAAAATAACAAGATTCTTCCTGAAAGTAGGTGACAATTTGCATTCATATAATAAAAAAACTACATTTCTATTATAAATAACAGTTTATAGCTGTGGAATTAAATCAGTGTAAGCTAATTTCTGCTTTTTAATCAGTAGAAATTTAATAAGAAGGTACAGAATGAAGACATTGGTGCATGTGCATTGTATAACTT